GCGTACCACGAGTCACGACTAGCCGAGTAAGTACGATTCTCACAGTATGGCCGACAAATTTTGCGAATTTAATATTCATGCCGATGACTGGGCGATTTATGGGGAAATACTTGATCAATTTTTTGCCGCAAATGCAATAACTGACGATAAAATTAAAACTGCTAACTTACTGAACTTCATTGGATTGAATGCATATAAACTTTTGCGAAATCTTTGCTTACCAAATTTACCTAAAGACAAGTCCTTCACGGAGCTGTGTAATTTGCTAAAAAGTCATTGTTGCCCACGAGTCAATGTGTGGCGCGAACGTAAAAGATTTTATGAAAGCAATTAGATAATGAAAAGGTTTCAGAATGGAGTGTTAGACTTGCAAAATTGAGCGAAAATTGTGATTTTGGGACTGGATTGAATGTAGCATTACAAGACAAATTTATGAGTGGTTTGAAGGCAAATAAAATTTTTGAGAGGCTATGTGAAGAAAAACTGAATGAAGCAACGTTCGAGAGGTTCAAAGAAATTGCAGTGCAGAGAGAAGATATATCCAATGCTAATGAAGAAGAAGTCCAATTTCAACAGAAACATCAATTTGGGCCCATAGCGATAGCTATGCACCAAGGTCAAGGGTTCGGTTCCACGAATCGCGGCAACCGCGCAATAATCAACAACGCCGAGAGCGCAGGTCCTTGAGCCGCGACAATGTAGCAACAGGAAGATGGAAATCTCCTGCGTCATCGATGGCCCAAAGCAATGGCGGAAGCAGAAATGGCGGTAGTAAGCAACAAAACCGAAATTGTCAAGTTTGTGGAGGCTTTCATAGTGGTTTGTGCAGATTCAGGCATTCTACTTGCTTGACGTGTAAAAGAAAAGGACACATTTCGAGGGTTTGTACCAATAAAAACATTAATTTTTTGGACAATAATGGGTATGTAAACAAAGACTTTTCTGATTCTTCTTTTTCCTCGGACGACATTGCTAGTAGTATTTCGAACAGTAATCCAGTTAATTTATTTCAAGTTTCCAGTAATAAAGACAAGAAAAGTCAATTTCACTTAAATGTAAACATTGAAAATTATAATTTTAATATTTTGTTTGACTCTGGAAGCTCAGTCAGCTGTTTGAATTTTGAAGTTTTCAATCAATATTTTGCAGATAAATTTGAATTAAGGCAAGATGATACTGTGTTAAAAAGTTATAATGATAGTTTGTTTGCACCAAAAGGGTATTTTAAAGCTAGGGTTACTTTTAAAAATATGTGTAAACACATTAAATTTCATGTAATAGCCAATGGAGGACCCTGCATTCTAGGTAGAGATTTCATTCAGAATTTTAATTTGAAATTTCAGATGATTAATGGTGTGGACAGTGATTTGAGCATTAAGAATGAGCTCAAAAACTTAGTAAAAAAATATGACGACGTTTTTTCTGACAAATTGGGTCACTATAAACATGCTAAACTGTCCTTGACATTAAAAGATAATGCTAATCCTATTTTTTTTAAACCTAGAATAATTCCTCTCGCCTATAAAAAGCCTCTGGAAGATCAACTAGAGAATATGGTGCAGCAGGGCATACTTACTCCAATCGACACTAGTGAGTGGGCGACTCCTCTTGTGCCTATCCTGAAGTCCGATGGTCAGATACGCATTTGTGCAGATTATAAAAGTACAGTCAACAAGCACATCATGGAGGAAGTCTATCCACTGCCACGCATTGAGGAAATATTCGCCAAACTTCACAAAGGTCAACACTTCACGAAATTGGACCTTTGTCAAGCCTATAACCAGTTTGAGCTGGACGAAGAAGCGAAGAAATTGTTGGTATGGTCAACTCATCGTGGTTTGATGCAGATGAACCGCTTGCCCTTTGGCGTTGCACCAGCTAGCGCCAAATTTCAGCGTCATATTGAGCAGACACTGCAGGGGGTGGACAACCGCGCATGCTTTTTGGATGACATTATTGTGACTGGCCAAAATAAAAAGTCTCATTTGGAAGCACTGGAAAATGTTCTAGAAAAATTAAGGGATGCAGGTTTAACTGTAAAAATGAGTAAGTGCGAATTTTTTAAATCCAACATAACATATTTAGGTCACAAAATATCAAAGGAAGGCTTAATGAAAACAAATGATAAAGTGTTGGCAATTTTAAATGCACCTAGGCCAACAAACGTAACAGAAACTAGATCCTTGTTTGGTTGTGTGACTTTTTATGCCAGATTTTTCCCCAATATGTCTTCTATAGTATCACCAATGTATAATTTATTGAAAAAGGAATCAAAATTCGATTGGAATGAAGAGTGTGAGAATGCATTTAGAAGAATAAAAGAAATAATTTCTTCAGACATTGTTTTGACACATTTTGACCCTGACTTACCTATTGTTTCAACCACAGATGCCAGCGATCAGGGAATTGCTGCAGTACTAGCACACCGGATGCCGGACGGTCGCGAGCGTCCAATAAGTTTTGTATCCAGAACACTGCTGCCAGCTGAGAAGAAGTTTTCCACTATACACAAAGAAGCGTTAAGCATCTACTGGGCCGTCACTAGGCTGCACAACTACTTGGCAGGACGAAAATTTAGGCTCAGAACTGACCACAGACCGCTTTGTGCGATTTTCAACCCGCACAAAGGCATACCAAAGATGCAAGAAAACAGACTACAGCGATGGGCGGCATTCTTGTCAGGCTACAAGTATGATATTGAGCACGTCAAGGGTAAGGAGAATTCAGTAGCTGATTATCTGTCCCGAGCACCCCTAAAAGCACAACCAGAAGACGAAACTGATGATAAAAAAGTAAGTTACCTTTTCTTCACTAACAAGGTAGCAGAGTGGCCATTAAATAACGAAGACATAAAGAAGCACACTAACAATGATAAAATTTTGAAAGAGGTAATAAGTCACGTTAAAAATGAAAAATGGCCCAAACAGGGGGAAAATTATTTAAAACCTTATTTTAATAGATGTTCTGAACTTTTTATAGAGGGAGAAACGCTAATGTGGGGACTTCGCATTGTGATTCCGTCAACTCTGAGAAAACAGCTACTGGAGCAGCTCCATGACGAAGGGGGTCATTTTGGTGCCAGTAAGATGAAAACTAGTGCCAGAGCAATATTTTATTGGCCAGGACTGGATGGTGACATTGAGAATATAGCTAAATCCTGTGCCGCATGCTCCATGAATAAGCCAGACCCTCCAAAAGCTCAACTAACCTCCTGGACACCCGAAAAAGGAGTTTTTGACCGTATTCATGTCGACTACCTGACGTTAAAAGACCAGAAGTTCCTAATCTTGGTCGATTCATTTTCTAAATGGATGGAAGTTTTTCCAGCTAAGACAGAAGACTCCAATGCCATCGAGAAAATCAGAGAAACTTTTGCTAGATTTGGACTATGTAAAACTTTAGTTTCTGATAATGGGAAGCCTTTTACGTCAAGAGAATTTGAAAATTTCTTGATCAGAAATGGTGTAAAGCACATAACTTCACCTCCATATAATCAGCAAAGCAATGGACAAGCTGAGAACGCTGTAAAAACGTTCAAGAATAAACTACTCACCCATTTGGCTGATAAAAACAACAAGAATGTTCTAATTTCAGTATTAACAGCTAGAGTTTTATTCAATTACAGAACCACAGAACATTGTTCAACCGGAAAATCACCAGCCTCACTAAATTTTGGGAGAGACATCCGAACAAGATTCGCGTTTTTGCAGCCAAAAGAAGATTGGAGCAGTCGGACAGAAAATAAGAACATTGTAGAGGCAACAGAAAACATTGAAAAATCCCAAGAAAGACAGAAGAAACACAAAGGAAAAAAAAGATCTTTCAACATAGAAGATAAAGTCTACGTCAGAGATTATAGAAGTGTCAACAAAAAACTATGGACAAAGGCAGTAATAATCAAGAAAATTGGGAAATCAACATATTTGTGCAAGCTGGAAGAAGGAAAAGAGTGGAAGAGGCATTTAAATCAGATAAATATGAGGGCAGATCGAGAGGAGTTGTTCGAAGATGACGAAAAATTAGGCCAGCAAGACAATTCGCCTGATAACACGAAAAATGAAGATTCTATTTCTTCCAAAATAGGTTTTATTCCAGATGATTCTCATAGTCCAGCAGCTTCTTCGAATGCTCAGGTCACTGACCGAATTGTTTCTCTGCAGCCTGAATCTAATGATAACAGTTTATTACAGGTCGAAAATGATTCACCACAGATTGTTGATAATATTTTAAACTTTAATAATGATAATGTGCAAACTAATATTGAATTTTCTTTACAGCAGGAAACGGTGGGTATACCTCCATTGACTAGTAATTCCCCAGATAATGATAATAGAATTTTTAATAGGATTGGTGTTGAGAGAAAGGGCGATTGTTCTGATGTTAACTTTCCCTTGGACGACTTTGCTGATGTGTCGTTTGAAGAACAAACTCATAATGACCAAAAGGGCTATGGTCCTGTCTGTGAAAATGAAAGTTTTCAACCCCCAAAAAGCAGAGAGCGGGTCCTCCAAGGAAAGGAAAAGGGTTTGATGAAATCCAAAGTTTTTACAAACTCCTCAAGGGGAGGGATGAATGTTGCGGAAACAAAATCTGACGATGACTCGAGGAATTTCTCAGTTGCAGGAACAAGTAAAGTAAAAAGTCCTTCTAGACCGGTAAGGTCCAAAAGGACACCCAGACGATTGGCAGATTTTGTCATGGAAGTCGATTAAAATTTCTACTAAATGTTAGAAATATTTGTCGGTGTTACATAACACCACATCGTTCCTAGCCATAACTGAAAAGTTCTGTGAGTGAGTAATGTCTATGCTTTCAGCATCACAAATGAATACATTTTCATTTGGGAGTATTCACCAGATTGTCAACAGAACCCAAGTTATGATACATTTTGTAAAGATGCTGCAATTGCCAGGAAAATCTTTTGGACAATAAGTTTAAATAAGAAAAAGAAATAATTTTTTTTTATTGCTAATAATTTGTATAGCTTATCAAGTACAGAAAGAAAACATTTTCCGGCAAGCATCGTCAGATGGTTGTAATTTTTAATGATTGTAGACATTACATAATGATCGTTATTTGTTTCTGAAATATATGAGTTTCAGAACTTTGAGGGGAAGGTGTGTGGTAACGGCAACTACGCATACTGACGTATAGCAACACTGAGCATGCGTCCTACAGAGGACGTCATCCAGAGAGCAGCCTGAGGAGCTCTCTCTCTCAATCCAGCCAACCTAGAAGAAGGTTCTCCCAATCGTGTTCGTGAAATAAAATGTCCGATCGTTATATACTCTAAATGTTTTATGTAATATTGGGAGTGAAATAAAAACCCTCTTCAGACGACTACCTTTATTAATATCTTGAACCCCAAGATACAACATTAACCAACATATTTGATTTTATAATAGGAAAACGTGGATGATTACTCATTCATATTTTTGTGTAAATTTATCAGGTGAAATATTTTTAAATAATGATGATAAATCTCAAAAACAAACAAGCTATTGCAATCGTTATTGATTTTTCCTTATCACCAATAGATAAAATATTATTATTTAAACGAAAAACATTTTTGTTATCTCATCAGTTGTTAAAATCAAATCATGTATAATCAAGGAGGCGGAGGTCAACATGGTGGTCCCCCTGGCAGCGGTCACTGGGGACCAGGAGGCGGAAACTCACACGGTGGCCCACCTGGCGGTGGTCAATACGGACCTGACGGAGGTTGGGGCAGCAATCACAGTGGTCCCCCAGGAGGTTTCAATGGCCCACCAGGAGGTTTCAATGGTCCACCAGGAGGATTTAATGGTCCACCAGGAGGATTCAATGGCCCACCAGGAGGTTTCAATGGCCCACCAGGAGGTTTTAATGGCCCACCGGGAGGTCCAGGTGGTTTTGATGGTCCAGGATGTCCGGGAGGTTTCGGAGGGCCAGGTGATTTTTTTTTATATTGTACATTAAACTAGAATCTAGAAGAGTTTTTTGAATAACTTTATATTAATATTTATGAAATTTGTATAAGTTTTTTTTTATGTTTTAGGTGGACAACATGGAGGACCTCGTTATTAATTTTTAAGATAAATCTAGGATATTATTTATACTTTATATTTTAATAGCAAGATAAAAGAACATTTATTTTAAAGCTTTATTGTATGATTTTTTTATAATTTGAATCTTTAAAAAAAAAATTAATAAAAATGAGTAAAGTTAACAAATAGTTCGTAATAGATTAGTTATTTTTAACCAGTGATTTTGGCGTTTTATTTACATGATAACAAAATGTTGGAACCAGTTCATTGCTAATGGAAATATTTGTCTATTTTCCCCTTGAACTAGATATGTGTGGTTTGATTTTGGAGTCTGAAGTACAGCATTTTAAATTTTGAAATTGGGATTGATCAAAATATATTCGATTGATTTTGATAGTCGAAAATGGTGTCTATATAAATTTAATTATCTCACCTTACCAGTAGATTATGGCAACAAAAACCAAATTCTTAATTTGAAGATTGCAGGCTGAGATTAGGTCAATTCCGTTTATCAATTGATAATACTGGAATGCCCTAGTGAGATTAAATACTGATTGTTTTTGTTCGTATTAGTATTTTCCTGACGATTTAAAATTAAAAAATTATTTAAATTATATTGGAAATAATATGAAAGCCTATTAATGCGAATTTTATTTATCCGATACATATAGATTTTCTTAAAATAAAACGACACTTCTTGAATAAAAGTAAGGTGCGACAGATATTTCCCAGGTCACGTTCTAGGTATTATTAAAATACATACTTTTAGGCTAAGCGTGATATTGCTGTTACAACAAAACTCTCGCCAAATAAACTTAGTTATTTTTGGGCTTAGCATAAAATTGCTGTAACAACACTCTCACAAAATAAATTTTCCGCCAACGCTTTTAATCACTTGAATACTGAATTGTTTTGCATCTTTTTTGCTAAATTTCACAGGTTCTAAAATGAGATTCTGGAGTTTACTTGTAGTTCCTCAATTGGATACTTTGCTAACTTTGCTGATGTAAAAGATCGCGTTTATAGTCGTCACATAATATCATCGTTTATATAATTTAGGTTTGCTCCAAATCGTTTAAGTTTAAGGTATGACAATTTTATGAAATTTATTAAATTTATTAAATTTAATTTTATATAAGCAATGTATGGGGTAAAGCAACCGTTTGTTCAAAGAAACTGTATTTTACATTCCAAATTTGAGAAGAAACTCTTGAAATGACGAATATTGAGATTTTGATGTTTTGATAGGTCATATGTTGTATAACATACCCGGGTTCGTTCAGCAAGATTGAACAGTGTGAATTTTAATTATCTTTTGAAAAACAAATCTTCTGAAAAACGAAATGAAAAACAAATAGGACCTATATTGTGGATACTTTCTCAATTTTACTTATTTGACATGTGCCCGACATAGCAAATATTAGATAAATTTAAGGGAGGTTGTGATAATGTAAAAAAAAAAACGAAAAATTTGTGAAACGTCCACTTTGTTATTAAAGTAAATCGTACAGTTCTCGACCTGGAACTAACGAGGGGAAAGAGCACGACAGAGAAACCTTCGATCTGAAATTCCTCAAAAATCAAAATATACTGTGTTAATGATAATTGTGAGTCAATAATCAATAATTTAAGTCAATAAAAGTTCAAATTAGGTACCATCATTTGTCTTTGTGCTAAAATTTTAATTGCACACACAACATTCAATCAACGCTACCTATATTCAATACTGAAGAGTTTTTGTTAGTTAGCCAGTTTCACCAGCAGGTACTGAGGTCCCATACGGAAAGCTACTCAGCTTTAGTTGTTTTTGAGCCAATATCTCTAGATTGATAATTTCAATTTGTTTACTAGGATATTCGCTCGTCAGGGTAGGAAAATGTTAGTAAGTTCAACAAGGCCTTAATGTACGCTCTGAATCGAAAATCAAAATCTCAGCACGAAAGACAGCACTTATTTTTTTAGATTTTCAATTTACCCTTTATCTGTGTTGTTTACAGCATGAAACGATTTTTGTTAAATACATTAACAATGCACATGTTTTAAAAAATGTTATAAACATACCAAAAAAAAAAAACATAAAAATGAACAAAATAATAGGTACTTGCATAAATTGAGCTCTCAAAAACAAAATAACAATTATTCAACTGACCTGTGATCGCTCTTTGACACACAAACTAATCACAAATTGGATTGAACAATCAGTTCAACACAAAATAAAAATTTAATAATGAACAATGGCAGACAAGCGTCTAAAGGACAATCTTCTTCCCTAGTCTAGTCGCTTCCTCTTTTGTCTCCTCTTCGTACGCTTTTTCTGTGGCGCCTCTCGTTCCCATAAACCTAAACTTCACGGCGCATTACATGGTTGCAACATTTACTTTTATTCAGTGAACGTTTTTAAAAAAGTTAAAATTTGAAGAAATAATATTTTAAATTGGTGGTTTTCCTCACATGGAACTAACTTGTACGAAATCTGTTTAGGTTTTATGAAAAATTAAAGTTTATATTAAAAATCAAAAAATTAAATGACAAATTTATGCCACGAGAGGTCATATTTATCAGTCGTATTTTATTAATAATAAAATGGTAGAAAAAAATTGATAATGTGAAATTTAATTCTATAAATCCTGTTTCAAAGGTAAAATGAATCGTTGAGGTTTTGATATTCGTAATAAAGCAAGTAGAATTTTGGAAATTGTTAATTTGGGCTCATTTCTTGATGCAATTTCATAAACAGAGCGGATCAACCTACTAGACATATAGGGAGTAATGACACGAATTAGCTTGTACCCAGTTTAGGCGAATCGAGGCATTGCTGTCGAAGCCGAGCATAGACGAGTTGCCGAAGATGCACAAATTTAAATAACATGCAGGGGCGATCAATGATCCATCATGAAGATCCTGCAGAGAAATGGGTATAACTCAACTGGTCCCATTGAAGCCTATGTGTCTAGTAGCCTGGTCCTCTCAGTACAAATGATAATGTGTTTCTATTTATTTTTCTGAAGTTCACAATATCAATTATTATGGTGCGCTCTGGCATTTAAATGACGCACGAGATCTGACATTCAGCGGCACGCACCTTAACTTCCAGCTAGGCGCGCACAATTTCACGGAAGTACGTCAGGCGTAGGAATATCCTGGGAAGTGGAACGACACGTCGACAACAATTTGAAAGAAAGCTCTCACCTCCACACCGGTCGCCGAAGCTTATTAAATCGAATAGCAAATGCTATTGAACAGTCTCGGTTCGATACAAGTAAGTTCGGTTACGTTTAACGTTTCACATTCATTGCGCATCGAGTTGACCAGCTCAGAGGTCATTTTGAAGTTCATTTTACAGGCATACAGTCTACTTTTGCTCAGTAGTGTTCATTTGTTCGAAAATACTTATTAGTTAACAGTTTCAATTGCAGTGGATAGGGTCACAAGGATGGATTATGTAAGTCACAAAAACAATGTCATAAATGTGGAGGAAAACATGAAGGTAAAAACTGCAATAGTTGTTTTCCTTTCATACCTAGTTTTGAATGGTTTTGGCGGTTTTTTTGGGAATAATTTGTTGATTGCGGGAATATTTAAAGCAAAATGTCTCAAAAAAGTAATGATAACAAACAGAAATTGACGATTTATGATACTGAAAATCAAGTAAATTATAGTTTATTTTTGACAATAGAATAATATCTTTGGGCGCATTCAGGTGAGTTAATTTTTAGTTAAAGGCTACAAATTAGGTACTTTAATTTGGTTTTCTAGATAATAATGTCCTTCTGCAGTATGCAGAAACTAATGCAGTATCATTTGAATATGATGATATTATTGAATTTGATGATGATTTAAATATGACACAAGAACAGACGGACCAGACACAAGATTAATTTAATGCAGAAAAACCAGATTCAAATTAAGTTAATGATAATCGCAACAACGAAATTCCAATTTTAAGCCAAACTAATAAAGTGAGAAATATTTGGGATTTTACTCAAAATAAAGCATTAATAAAAAGTATGTCTTCGCACATAAGCGATTTGAATGTAAAAAGCGCAAATTTGTATTTGATAATATCACAAACGATCTTTTGAGTCAGGGATATAGTTTCACTGCAGTTGCAGTTCAAAATAATTGGAAGAGTCTGGTAAGGAGTTACCAAAAATGTGAAGATACTAAAACACGCACAGGGCAAGGACCTTCCCGATTCTTTTTTTTTTTTCAGGAAATAGATGAAATTTTAGGATCAAAGCCTGCAAATGAGTGCAGCCGTTATCTTAATTCTGTCTTTGGCAGTATTGTTCGTCGATTTTTAACTGACACTTTCCGTATGAGGTGCGAGGGGGTGTTTCATATGGCAAAAACAGGTGTGACGTCAGGTAACTATTGTTGTTCTAATGTAGGGAGCCACCAGCTAACATTCCGTCCGAGTATCAGATTAAAATCGACGGACAATAAAAGTGAAAAAATGGAGGAAACATCAGTGAATGAAGACATTTCTAGCATTGAAAGTACAGAGCGAACCGAGCAATGAAGTTTGCAAGAAGCTACTGAAGAAAATAAAGAGCCAAAGTTTCAAAGTAAAAAGAAGTATATGGAAATAAAAACGAAATATATGCCAACAAAAAGAGAAAGATGAGACATACAGATAAAATGAAGAAAGAAGATTGGCTATCGAGAGAAAGAAACTGAATTATTAAAATAAATAGCCGTATAAATGAAAAAGCAAGTGTTTTCTTCATAGATAATGACCATAAGGTCTTTCTTGTTTCTTTCTTTATGAAATACTACAATTAAAGAATAGGTACTGGTATAATTTTTTATTTTATAGTGGTGAATTTAAACCTGTTTAATTTTGGTGTTAGTAAATGTGCTATTTTTTTTGTTATTAGTCTCATTTTAGTAAGTAGTTTGATTAGCAAAATGTTTTATAGTTATTTACATTACAAGTGCGTTTATGAACATGATTACAATAGCGAGTGTGTGACGAGGTCGTAGACCGAGTCGTTCTAATCACACGAGTTTTGTAGTCATGTTTACACGCACGTGTGATGTAGGTACAACGTTTTATCGACAAAGCGAAAAATAAGAATGTTTTTTCAATTATTTTCGTTTATTAGTCTACCTAATCTATTTTCATTTTACCTTTACAGTTTTAATGGACCCTAGGTCTGTTTCTGCAGGAGTCGCAAATCAGTCAGAGTGAATTCCATTGGTTTAAACTAGTTTTCTGACTGTTTTCAGCCAAAGAAATTCG